ATCTCTGTACAGGTTTGGTTGATTTGACTGATGTATACTGTTATGAGCTTTAAGATACAATTGTAGTTTCATCTTGCACTTTCAGTCATTCTAAAAATGGGTAAATTAGATATATTTCGTATTTTTTGTTATGGTGGTTACATGGTCGGTCAAATTGACTGAATGAGTATAGAATTAAGGAAGAGAAAGTGACAGATAAAATATAAAGTCTTACTGAAACAAATCGTATAACATTTATTTAGGAGGTGTTAGAGATTATAAAAATGAAACTTTACAATTTTCAAATGAAGAAAAGTATTTTTAATCTTAACATTAAAATCACTTTGCAATCGGAGCTGTCACTTTGACTCCATATGTTTAACGGTCAAACTTTTAGTATATAAGTAGTAAAATTTACCGAAAGCCTGCCAAATTTTGTAGAGATACATGTACCACATTAAAAGTTGGAAACATGTGGAAACACTGATGTCTATTTTGTGGTTATGAACTTGGTCACACCGACCAAGCCCGTAGCAAGAGGGTTAAGCCTGTTATCAATTTTTTTTCATATAACACAACACTTCAGAAGCTATAATACAATGGCAAAAGTAGAGTTTAAATGTGTGTGGAACATTTAAGTTATTAGAATAATAATACACTTTAAATTAAAAATTTATACTTGTTTGTCATTCAGCCCAAACTGTTCATACTTCACTATATATTTGTCAGTTTACTGAAGACAAAAGAATAAAAAGTAAGGCATGCATTAAGATAAAAACAATTATCTTGTGTATACTCTGGAGAAATACAACAAGCCAATATCAAACCTTTCACTTTAATGGCCACAACTAAGAATGCATAGAGAAACTTGATATAAATAGTGTTTCACTACAGGATCATTGAGCAACAAGCAACAGAAAATACATGCCTAGAAGAACTTAAGTCAGTAATTGTTAAAAACAGTCAATAAAAACTAGATTAGTGAAATAAACATATTTAGAAAGACTCCTGGAATCTCACTGATAATTTAATTTACATTTTAGAATAAAAGCTAACATTTAACTTTTCATTTTGCTTAATTTTATCCTTCATATATTTAAGGTTTATCTTATGATGACATGGTTCAAAAGAATGTGCCAGTGCTTTTTTAACTGAACACTTTAATGTATAAATTACAGAATAAACAGTCTACTTTTTAAACATAGTTTATTTCATTTTGTTTAGGATGTATTTTAATATCAAGACACTTCCAGGTTTTAATACAAAATTCACAGGATGTTTAACAGTCCTAGTTTTTTTTTTATACATTTCACCAACCACACCTTATAACTTAGATAAAGTTTATAACATACGGTAAACAACAAACGGTGAACTTACAACAGGAACAGAATGTTTATTACAAAAAAAGATCATTAAAGATAATTAATCCACAATATAAGAAGGATAATCATTAATTTCAAACAATCACTCAGCCTTTTAACATTCTGCAGACTTCAACTACTACAACCAGAGAAATCTTACACACAGTACTAGTGTTCATGTTCTCTAGTTTAACAAATGAAATTAAAATTTTAATCTTCATATTAAAATACCCTGTTCCAAAAACGTTAAAGACACAACAACACTTACCACAATTAACTTCATCAGAAAAATCAAAACAGTCAACTCTTCCATCACAACGCTTTTGCCCATCAATGCATGACCCATCTTTACATGTAAAATGGCCAGGAAGACATGCAACCTCTAAAGCATGCAGAGCAGTTAGGTCATTAGAAAGAAAAGTACTGATAGAAAAACAGAGAGAGGTAAATAATTATTTGTTATACAGAAATTAAAAGAAACTTAACTGAAATAAGAAATCCTAATAATTCCTGTGACAAAGCACTCTCTAAACATGTTGGATTTTAAATTCTCATGTTTCAATGCACTAAAATAATATTAATATCTATATGTAAACACCTACCACAGTTTTGTTCATCAGAATAATCTCTGCAATCATATTGACCATCACATTTTTGTCTTTCATCAATACATGTTCCATCACCACACCTGAACTGATCTTCTCGACAGTCTTCAACTAAATAAGACATAAATTGCATATCAGTTTACAAACTTAATTTTTAAATAACCCTTTTGTTTGGGTAAGCTTTTTAATATATCAGAAAATAACATCCAAATGAAACTAAAGTCTGACCTAATTTTTTAAAGTAAGAACAAACAATTTTTAAAAACTAACTTTCCAAACATTTTTCCCACAGTTTTCATACATTTTGAAAAACAATACTTTCATATAAGATCTTGAAGACTTTACAATTTCTCCTTAATGAGGTATATATTAAGTGTGTTATCAATTTTTCACATTAAACAACATTTCTGAAGCTATAATACAATGGTATAAGTTGGATTTAAATGTGAATGGAACAAATAAAACATGAAAATAACACATTTTAAATTCAAAAATTTCCCATTTCTCATTTCGACCAAATTATATGGTCTGCCAATTTAATGAAGGAAATAGAATAAAAAGTAAAGCATGTATTGAGATAAAAATAATTATTTTGTGAATACTCTGAAGAAATACAACAAACTAATGTCAAAAATTTTTATTTTAATGGATACAACTAAAAATGCATAGAGAAAATTGATACAGACAATGTTTATCTATCACATCATTGAGCAACAATATGTGCTTATAAAAACTTAAGTCAGTAATTGTTAAAAACAGCCAATAACACTAGATTAGTCCGCTGAACATATTGGGAAAGACTTGAATGCTCACTGATTTTATATTTTTGAATAGAAAGCCAAAATTTAACTATTTTTCTTAATCTTCACCTAGCATGATCAAGGCTTATCTAGGGGGTGATGAAGTGATTCAATAAAAGGTGACAAGCCTACACATGTGCTCCTTGAAATGAATGTTTTAATGCAAAAACTAGCAGAGACTTGGAAACATTTATGATCAAATTAGCATCTTTAATGCAAGAGTACATCTTTAAAAACAGGATTTCTAGAACAAAACAATGGAATTTAATTGCAGACACTGAAATCTATAAGTTCACTTGTCTTAGGCTTAACATTAGTTAATCCTTTATTAATTATGACATAAATTCAATAAAGAGATAAGTTAACATTAATTTTAGTACATTTTTTGCTTTAGTTTAGATAGGGCTAAACTTTATCTTACTTAATGCTATCAATAAAATAACAATATTATTCTATGACCTAACAATAGACCTTTTTAAAAAACTTTGATAAGCATTTAATATGTTGTTGTACAAAATGTCTAATAAAGTATGTTTTCATCTGCATTTTGTTTACATCTGTGCTTGCACATATACATTTAGATAGTAAGGTGAGCAAGAATTTCCAGGTGAGGCAAAATTGAGAGTTATTGTGATAGATCACAGTGTAAACAGCCCACTCTTTAAGTATCATTTATTATATATATATATGTTTTTAGTATCAAGAAACTTACATTCTTACCAGGTTTTAATAGAAAAATTCACATTTCACCAACCACACATTATTTAGATACAGTTTAGAACATACGGTAAACAACAAACAGTGAACTTACAACAAGAACAGAATGTTTATTAGAAAAAAAGATCATTAATGATTATCCTTCTTGTATTGTGGATTAATTATCTTTAATTTCAAACAATCTCTCAACCTTTTAACATTCTGCAGACTTCAACTACTACATCCAGAGAAATCTTACACACAGTACTAGTGTTCA